GTGGAGGGAGAAAGGCTGGGTTTCATACGCCCCGTTCTAAGGAGCGCAGGGTCCCGCACGCCTCGTTGTGCTGTCTTGCAAACTACCTGGTTTTTACTGTCTGTTTTTACTCTCAGCTTTGCTGCCTGTTTGCCTTTTTTTTTTTTTGAAGATTCCATCTGTTTGCCGCGCTTCTCTCCTCTGTGGCTTTACCGACAGCAGGTAGCAAACTGGTTGCAGTCTCTTGCCCTTAAGGTGCGTGATAGAGCATGTTACCTCGACACGAAAGATGTGCTCTTAAGGCCCTTTCAGACAGAGAGGGCTTGGCCCAGCTGCTGCAGTAGCGAGGTCTCTGCCACCATGGTTAGAAGAGGGATTAACCTTTGCAAAAAGGGATTAACCCTTGCAAAGAGGTGAAGGGAACGTTAGCCCAGGAAGTCGCAGTTGACCTGCATTGGTTTCTCTCAGGCAACTCCAAAGTAAGTGTGTAACCTGGTTAATGTTACAAAGGCTATAGCACGCTGTAGTCAAGCAATGTGTTGGTAGTGGCATTTATGTCTGGTGCTAATTGTTTGTTGTCGTTTTTAGTAAGCATTGCCAATGGATGAACTGGTGCATGACTTGGCCTCAGCCTTAGAGCAGACTTCAGAGCAAAACAAGCTGGATGAGCTATGGGAAGAGATGGCCCTGAGCCCGCGGCAGCAGCGGCGTCAGCTTCGCAAGAGACGGGGTCGTAAACGACGCTCAGACTTCACGCATCAGGCAGAGCATACCTGCTGCTACAGCGAGGCCTCAGAGTCGAGCTTGGACGAAGCTGTCAAGGATTGCCGTGAGGTGCTGACAGCCAACTTCAGTGACTCCGATGACATGGCAGTGGTCAAACGACACCCAACTCTCAGTGCCACGCTGAGGAGCAAGCAACACTCATGGCATGAGTCAGACTCCTTTACAGAGAATGCACCCTGTCGACCTCTCAGACGCCGACGGAAAGTCAAACGTGTGACGTCGGAGGTGGCTGCCAGTCTCCAGCAAAAGCTCAGGGTGTCGGAGTGGAGCTATGAGAGGGGCTGCAGGTTCAAGTCGGCCAAGAAACAACGTCTTTCACGCTGGAAAGAAAATGCCCCTTGGACATCGTCCAGTCATGGCCTTTGTGAATCAGGAGAGAACAGGCCCTTCCTCAGCAAAGGGGGAAGGAAGGAGCGAATGGAGTGTGAAGCTGATGAACAGAAACAGGGCTCAGATGAAAACATGTCCGAATGGTGAGATCTTGGTTTCTTCCATGTGCTAGTCAGATCGCCACCTTGCTTGCAGCTGCTTGTAAATCCCATGCCTTGCTTTTAGAAATTCTTATCAAAATTATTCAGTGCTTTTCTGTTTTTGAAAGGGAGAAGTACATCAGCTACTTCTAAACTGTAGATTTTTTTCCAAATCTTTCCTCTCAACGCTGTACCTACGACCCAAAACACTTCCTTGAAAAGTTGGCAAGCTGCTATGTTTCTGGCTGCTGTTACACAAGGAGCCCTCTGAAACGTCTGTGGCCCTGCAGCTACAGAAGTGGCATGGTTGTGGCCTGAGGATGGGAGACCAAATCCACCATTGGCACTGGTGTTGTCTGATTGATACGAACTGATCTCCGATTCTTGTTTCAGAATTTACCATAAGTACAACTAGAGAACAGCTCAGGTCTCCCATCACGATAGTTAGCCTTCTGTGGGGGTACTGTGCAAACCTCAGTCAAAACACCTTGTTGTGGGTTTGCGTTTCTGCTTTGGTTCAGGAATAAGATCCTGAAAGGCTAGCTATGGGGAAAATGTAACAAGATGATAAGAAGTTTTGGGAAACTTTACTTAGAGGATAAGCCTGTGCAAACAGTGGAGTCTGGCCTGTCTTTGCGTACGGTTTTGGAGAACTGCGATGAATTTGTGGCAGAATCTCATACAAGAGATATAAACAAGAAGTGTAAATGTTGTGGTCTGAATTTGTGTGTCACACTTGTGAAGTTTTCCCTTTCTGTGACTTATTCTCCCTATAGAAGGCTTGGGGTTATAAAACTGCTTCTGTGCAAAGAGGTTTTTCAGGTTAGAAAAGAAACACCTTCAGAGCATCAAATGGAGGAGATTTCTTAATGGCATACAGAAAGTAAATAGGGTTGTTTATTTGCTAATTGTCATTGTGTAAGAAGCAGGAGACATTGAGGAAACATTTAAAACAAAAAAAGTATTCTTCTTCATGAAATGTCAGGTTTGGAACTCTAGTGTGGGACATTTTGGAGGTAAAAAATTCAAATATGTCCAAAAGGGGAGTGTGTAGTATAGATGTATCAGGGACTGTTAAGCATTACAGCCCAAATGGAAGATCTAGCCCAGGAATTCCCTAAACTGCGGAGCACTAGAAGCTGGAGGGATATACAGAGGAAACAGTTGGTCTGTATTTGCCGTGTTCTTGTATTCTTTCCTCAGACGTCCACTGTTTTAGATACTGTCAGAGAGAGGACAGTGGATTTGGAAAGTATAATTGTTTGATCTGCTGTAATTGTTCATATGTTAAGGTTCATTTAAGTGTTTTGCCTGTCTAGCTCCTGCAGTTTGTTGGAGTGGACAGGTGGCACTTGGTTATTGAGGGCTTTGTGGATAGTAGTTGGAAACTTCTCAGTGGAGTTTTCTGGGAGACTGTAAAAAGCCTAGGTTGTAATTATGTCTTCACTGTCCTAATCCAGGGGACCACTGCTGAATTTTTACTGAATCAGTGTGGAAATAGCAAAGAAGTAATTTTTTTTCCTTAAAAAGTGACTTTTGTTTGCTTAAAAAGTGGGTACAGAGTGGGCCTTTTCGAGAGAGCAATGGATATCTTTTTGCTACTAGTTGTTAAAAGCACTTTTATCTTTTCAGAGCTGTTTCCTGGTAGTCCGGGAAAGGGAATGTGCTGAGTAGTCCCTGAATGTTGCGTGTCAGTGGTGATGAACTGAGAGGTACCCTTACTGGATGTGGCAGTGATGGACGGTGTTCCTTGAAGTTTCTTTTCCACCAGTCAGACTCTGTTCCATCATGTCAAACTTGAACTTAAACCAGCAGGCTTTCGTCCAGCTTTCTTTTGTGCCAGCCTCTGAGAGAGTAAATAAACAGCTTTGTCTGGAGTGTTACTTGAAGACCATGCTGGGAGATCACTTTGTTCTGTCTCAGTTGTCCCTCGCTCTCGAACTAATTATTGTGCAAGTCTCTGCATCAAATGACATTTACCGTCTGCTGCCAAATCCGTGGGATTCGCTTTGGAAAGCTAGGGCTTGGAATATTTGACCTCTCCAACACCAGATGTGTGATCTGTGTTATGACTCACTAGGGAGTGTCAAAGTTGGAGAGAGAAATACACGCAACCCTCTTCACTGCGGAGTATCCCTCACAGCAGTGAAGGATCATGCTTTGGTCTCTGCTGCTCTAAATATAGCGCTTTGCTGCAAGCAGCAGAGTGAAACTGGCTGTGATTACCTCACTCTCCCTGTGCTCTAGCTGTTGTTTCTGGTGCCACAGAAGAAGTACTTTGCACAGATGTGTAACAAGGGCATATCCTGAGGAAGGGAGGAGGAAATTGGGTGCCTATGAGAGCAAATGGTGTGGTTGTCCTCACAAGCTGGTAGGACGGAAGAGGACTGATATGTATGGCTTGTGGGGTTTCGAAGCCGTGGTCAGTGGTGATCTGGTGGTTTACAAAACACTGTGATACTGAATTGGTTCTACTGCTGTTCACTCTTCTAGCATTGAGGAGTGTCCCAAAACTGGCATGCTCTTAGGCAAACTAAGTTGTATATCCAGAACTAGATTGTTTGGGGTTTTTTTTCACCTTCTTTTGCCTCTCCTCCACTGACACTTGCTTTTCTTTGTTGTGTAGGAATGAATCTCTGCAAATCCACAATTTTGTCTGCTTTCTAGAAGGCTCCTTATCCTAAGTCAGATCAAAAACCTACTATATTCAATAGATAAACTCCCATTCACTGAGGAAGCCTTGAGTAATTATCCTTAATGAGGAGACAGTTGTTATAGTTTGCTTGTGGGACTGCACCTGGTCTTTTCCTGGAGGAAGATGGGTTGCAGTATTGTGATTCAGTATTGTGAAATGAAATCTTTGAAATTATTTTCCAAACGTGGCAAGAGGTTGACGTGAATGGAGAGGACGAAGGATGTGCAGGAACATGATGAGGGAATGATGATGGTTCTAAATTGAGTAATGGCATGGCTTAAAGCCTGATCTGTCAATGATTTTGGAAAGAACAGAAGAAGCAAGTGATCTTAGTTTAAGTAGACATTTCTGTATTTGTACAAAGGTGACAATTACCTGCTAAGACTATGAGAATTAACATGCTCTTCTGTCCCTTAATGCTTTGAGATTCTTTACAGCCATAAATAATTTGCAAATAATAGTAATAAATTGCAAAGGCCAATTATATATTGAGTTCTGAAATTCTTTCTCTTGTTGGTCTAAACTGAGTACAGAATGGTCTGCGTTTGGCTTGAGGACAGAATAAACCATAGTACAAGAGCTGTCTGAAAAATCATTTTGACTGATATGCTTACCAGTGAGAGGTGTGCAGTTTGTCTCATCTACTCTCAAGTTCCATAACTCTTAGCATGAGTTTTTCAGACTGTGGTTTGTAAGTGACCTACTAATTCGTTGTGGTTTAACCGGGATAGGCAGCTCAGCCCCACACAGCTGCCCGTCACTCCTCTGTAGTGGGATGAGGGAGAGAATTGGAAGAGTGAAAGTGAGAAAACGTAGGTTGAGATAAAGTCAGTTTAATAGGCAGAGCAAAATGGGGAATTCATTTGCTAGTTCCCAGCGGCAGGCAGATGTTTAGCCACTTCCAGCAAAGCGAGGCTCCTTCGTGTGTAACAGGTACCTGGGAAGACAAACACCGTAACTCCAAATGTTCCCTCTTCCTCCTTCTTTCCCTCAGCTTTGATTGCTGAGTACGACATGGTATGGGCTGGGGTATCCCTCTGGTCAGTTGGGGTCAACTGTTCTGACTGTGTTGCCTCTCAGCTTCTTGTGCGCCCCCAGCCTGCTTGCTGGCAGGGTGATGTGAGAAACAGAGGTGGCCTTGGCACTGTTGAAGCACTGCTCAGCGATAAATACCTAAACCATCAGTATGTTATCAACGCTGTTTTGGTCACAAATTCAAAACGTGGTGCTGTAGAGCTACTATAAGGAAAATTCAAGTTTATCCCAGCCAAAACCAGTACAGTATTCTGGCTTGGGAGTATAACTAGTGCTCGTTCTGAGCATGCGGTATGGTTGCTGTACCCTTTGGAAGGGAGCTGTTTCAATGACAGCCTGCAGTGGCAGCCAAGAGCCTGGCTAAACTGATGAGTTGGAGGCCAGTCTCTCGGTAAAGAAAAAATTCCTCTCTCTTGGAAGGCAAGTGACAAAGACAGAGTATTCAGCTTCCCCTCCTTCTCCAGCCCGGCCTGACCTTCTGCAGCCCCTCGGTGCCTCTTGTTTTCTTATTTTTATAGAAAATCAATATCCCTTCTGACACAAACAATAGCTCAGGCGAAAGAATAAATGGGGGAAACCTGAGATCTCTGTCCATCACCTCTCACTTTAACTCTCTCAAACTATTTAATTATAAGCGTGCTTTGCTCCAGGTGTTTGCGACAGTGAAATTGCTAAATGAGGACCATTTTAACCAAAGATTGGGTGATCAATAGCACTCTATAGCAGTAGCTTGTCAGATCAATAGCATTCATTATTTCATGGTTAAGGTAAGTAGCCTCCTTTGCAAGTGGAGGTCATTAATCAGTGCTTACTGGACCTGCAGAAAGGCTTGTGTAGGAGTCTAGTTTGTGCTTAGCCCTGAAGTGTAAAAAGGGTGGTAAAGAGGGTGAGATCCGTGGAAGTTTGGTCCAGTACAGCACTGGCAGTAACATGTTATCTGTTGGGAACTAGAGAGCTCTCAGTACAACAGGATGCTTAAAGTACTGTTCAGATGATCTGGAATCTTGACAGTTCTTTTTACTTTCTCAGGCACCTTTCCTCTGAGGATGCTAAAAGCCTTATGAGGCAGTCACTCAGTCCTCGCATCTGCTGCTTGTGAGGACTGTTAATCCAGGCTTTCAAAAGCAGACATGCTAAGAGATTTGCCCAGGGTCAAACAGTGGATTGGTAGGAGAGCTGGAAATGAAATGAATGACTCAGGATCTCAGTCAGTCCTTGGCCTTAGTCGCTACGGTGTATACGTGGGAGGGTGAATGGATGGCCAAGCTTTGTAATGGATTGATTTGGAATTTGATGTTAACTTAGATACTGAAATGTGGGAATGATGTACAGATTGTTCATCCTTTAACATTTAAATGGCCTTTATACAATTTTGAAGATGCAGAGTTCACGGATACTCAGTGTGAGGAGTTGATGTGGCTACACTTCAGAGTGCGTTTTCTAAAAGCAATAACATGCTTATGAAGTGAGTTTATTATGTGACTGCACTTCTTTAGGTTGATACATCTTGTGATCCCTCAGCCTTTTGAATCAAGGGGTCTCTGGTTGATGCTGGTGTCTAGTATGATACAATTCCCCTGAAAAAGGGGGCCTCAGAGATGCTTTCTAACAGTGGGCCCTGATTAGAGATTTATTCCAGTGCTGAGTTATACCTGATATTTGCATCAGGTGCTTGCCTTAGCCTTAGTGGTGAAGGGGTGAGCAGCAAGTAGTTTCTGCTTGTTCTGATATCTCTCAGCTAAATCAGAGCAAGTATTGCCCAAAATGTCAAGGGATTGATTTAATATCAGCATTAAAGCCATCAGATACTTGGGACTGACCTGAGCACGTACTTCTGCTACAAATATTCATCCAGCTTTACAGTCCATTAATGACTTTCTACACATTAACTTCTAGTTTAATTCTTTGTCTTGAGATTTAAGTCCCCTGTAACTGCTTCAGCAAATGCAGAGTGTGCTGTAACGAGGCTGCATTCAGCAGCAGCAAGTCATACTGTGCTGAGGTATTTAGCTGAAGAATTGTGAATGTACCAGCTGCTCTTCCCTCCGAATAAAATAAAACTTCCCAAGATTGAAGGGGGAGATTTATCTACCTGTATAATATTTTTTTGAGAAAAAGGAATCGGAAGTAGAAAACTTCAGATAGCTGTTTTGAGTAGCTGTTAAGTGACCCAAGGACAGAGTTTTTAACTGCACTTAATTTCCTAGTGAATATTCCAGACAATGTCATAGTTAGGTTATTAACTGTAGTACCCGAGGCTAATGCCATTGTATTAATTACTTTTTGATAACTTAGAATCCTGTATCTAGCATAGTTCTACTCTTGTTTTAATGGAGAGCAATTATGTCCTGTGCTAGAGCCAGCCATGTATCTGAAATGTAACTTTTGTAGGTTAAGTCTTTTGGTCTCAGAGAAGCTACTAAAATGTAATAAAGTGGGTTTTATTTTGTATCTGTTGCAGTTGTAACAATGAGGTTTTTTTGTGTTTATTTTCCTTGCAGTGAAACCAGCAGTGTCTGCAGCAGCAGTGACACTGGCCTGTTTACCAATGATGAGGGCCGCCAAGGTAACAATTGTCCTGTGATTTTCCTCATGTGTTGCTGGGGAATTTCTCTTACTTTACAAATAAAAAGAAAAAACTATGTTTGAAGGTGGACAGAGAGGGAAGTATGGGTGAAAGGCCAGTGGCTGGGAGGGTCTAGAAGTTCGGAAATGAGCTGAGGGCTATAAAGATGTGATTTTGGTAACAGTACACACTTCCTTCTGAAACACTTCATAGAAGAACTGTAATATTTGAAATATAAGAAGCTATTATTCTGAAAAGGCACAAAAATACAAGAGGAGTTTTAGAACTCTCCGTAATGAAAGAGCAGTGCTTGTGATTCATTTCTATATGTATTTTAATTGTTCCGTACATACTATTAGTGCCTGCATCTGTTAGGTTTTTTTCTCTATGGGCAGGAAGAGATGATATAAAAAAAAAAACAATTAGTACTGACAAGTCACCAAACAGACTGTGCTAAGAACAACAGTAATATGTGATAGTTTTGTCTTGTTTAAATATACGTTCCTCCCGTGCTCTTGTTTGCATTCCTTGAGCCCAGTATTTTCAGTATCTGTTGTAGCAATGGTTTCTTAGGAGGTTTGAGTGTGGAGTGTAGTCTGGTTTTGTTTATCAGTGACAGCACAGAGTCCAGTTTGCGGGAGATAAGGTAAAACTAAGTGTGAAAGAGATTGTAGTAGGCACATAGGTGTTCAGGGCTATTATACATGGAGCAAGTGGAATGTGACCCTGAAGAGCTGTAATTCTGCAAAGCTTCTGCTAGTGTGCACTCGGGTTCTGTCACATTTCATGAGCTAAGATTTGGATGAGATCTGTTCTGGGAATATATGAGTGCTAAAGAAAGTAGTATCAGTAACTCAGTAGGAAATGATACTTCACTAGTTTGTTACTGACATGGGTATCAGTGTTTGAGGCAACACAGTGATGGCAAATATGTGTGGGATTTTTCTGCTGTGTCAGGCTGTAGGGTTGCTCTGTGGTGGTCTTAGGTGGCTATACTTTCCTGAAGAGTAGGGATTTCTATATCAGCTTTGAGCTTTGCTGAAAAATAACTTGTTTCCAGCCTCCTGTTCTTCAAAAGCAACAGAAAAGTCAAATTCTTTGTCCTCTCTTTTTACTGATGACTGTTCTGGGGGAGCTGAAATTAGTGAGCACTTGTATCAGATGTTGAAGCAGGCTGGTGACTGAAGAGTTGAATTTTTGCTTTATCACCCAAGGCAAGATTGATGTAGATAGGATGGTGTATATATATCTGCTTGTCTATGTGCTTGCCCTGTTTACTTGCCCTGGTTTTATACACTGCTTTAGACATTAACTTCTGGCTGCTACTAGAAGTAAGATACCCAGTAGACAAAAGCGTGCAGAATATACTACTTAAATTAATAAAATCCAATTACAGCCTTCCCTGTCTAGGTACTAGAAGAGATTCGACATCCTAATCATTAGGCCTCTGTCTGTTCAAACAGTTTACACTACAGTAGCTTTCTGACTAAGATGTTTTAGCTTACAGTTGTGTTAAAAAGGGTTAGGAAATGTTGGTGCACCTTCAGGTTAAAAAAGAAACATCTCTTTTTCCTTTTTTTTCTGACAATTTCTAGTCATAAAGTAAATAATGAAGAACAACTCTCCACTTCAGTGAGATGGAGAGAGCACTTCAGCGAGATAACTTTATTTTTTTCCCACAGATCATCATCTTAGAAGTAGTTACCTGCTACAATTCCTAACTGAATAATGAGAAATTTGAAATAATAGTGTACTTAAATGGAACATAGTTTTTTTCCACCCTTCTTTTGAGGTTACTTCATGTAATATTTGTGCTCTTGCGCATTAAATAGGTTGTCTTTGCAGTTCCAGCTACCAGTGCACTTCTGTGATCGCAAAATGGTCCTAGTTTATAATTTGATTGTAAGCTTTTTTTCTTCGCTTTTTTTTCCTGTCAAATGCATTGGAATCTCTCACTGGGAAAGTTGCCGCAGAATAAGCATATGATCCTGATTGTTAATGTTTGTCCTGCGAAAGTAGTGATTGAAGATAAGGCAGTGCACTATGCTCTTAGATCCAAAACTGTAGTGATATTTTTGCATGTATAATGATCACTTACAAGAAGTAGCCAACATTACTTAGTTTTAATTTACTATAGTTTTTTTATTGTATTATTTTTTTTGATCTGTCAAGATGTGTGGGTTTGCATAATGAACTTCAGTCAGGAATAACATAACTTGGTGAGGAAAGGAGAGTAAGTGGGGATGCTTGAGCTGAGGCTTAATGGTAGGCAAAGGAGAGTTTTTCCAGTGTCAAGTGTGTTAGTTTTTTAAGGCAAAATGAAGCACCTTGTAATTACACAGGACTGTTAATTAGTTGGGCTACTGAAAAGCTAAGTGTGCCAGGTTCTTTGCCTTCTTCCTGCTTTTTTTCTTTCCGTGCTTACATGCTACTGCTTTCAGGAGATTTCTGGCCAGGGAGATTTACCATGAATGGCACCTGATGCAGTTCAATTTTAAGACTGCAACTGGATTAATTATGGTGATCCTGCTTTATGGAGACTTCGGTCATGACTTCTGTTGATGCTGCTCTAGTTTTGCAGAGAGTTTGTATTTCTGATAGAGTCTGAGAAATTTTGACTGAGAAAGACTCACACAGTGGTTAGTGCTTATACTCAGAGTGACCATTTCTAACAGTTGTGTGTTTTCCTCTTAACTGCTGTCTTAGGATAGAGGGATCTTTCTCATCAGTGAGTGTGCACCTTCTGCTTACTCTGTGAGCCCAGTCTTCTGCTGCTGTGAAGTCTCTCCTGTGACAGCCTGTAACGTGTGCCAAATGATTGGCCTCTACCTCTCTCACAGTAATTACTTCAGAGAAAGAGTTCTGCATAAGACATCACACAACATTGAACTGAGGTTGATGAGATGCAGTCGCAACAGAGTGCTAAAGCTGCCCTAGGCAGGGCTGTAAAGAGGGCTTTGTTCTGTAGGGAAATTCTGTAGACTGATGAGTTGGATAGTTTAAAGCATTTAGCGAAGCCCCATAGTAACTGCAGATCATTGAAACAGAATACAAATATAAGGCTCTTCAGGAAGGAATTCCTAATGAGACTTGAGCTGTTTCACATCCAGAAATGCCTGCCTGTGACAGTCCCACAAAATTCCATCCTGTTTCTTTAGGAGATGATGAGCAAAGTGATTGGTTTTATGAAGGAGAATGTGTTCCAGGATTCACTGTGCCCAACCTTCTTCCCAAGTGGGGAGCTGACCACCGATCTGAAGTGGAGCGGATTGACTCAAGCCTAGACAAGCTATCAGATTCCACCTTCCTTTTGCCCTCGCGGCCAGCTCAGAGAGGTGAGATCCGTAAGTAACGACGTGTGTTTGAGAGCTTCTGATGTCGTGGCAAGGGTAGATTCTGTTCATAGGGCTGAATTTTAAATGGATGCTAGAGATTTGTGGGATTTCTTTCACAATCCAGTTAAGAATAGCTGCACTGCTGGAGAGGATGCTAAAATACTCATACCAGCCGCCAACGTTCTCTAGTCTTCTTTTTCTTTAAATAGGGATTTTATTTGATTTGTGAATAAATTGGCATACCTACCTCTTGCAGATTGAGAAACAAGAGACAGAGGATCTGATATGACCAACTAGCTAATTGTCCTGCCTGGTGGTTTTGTCTGAAAGAATCTTCTGTACCCATTGCTCATTTTTTCTGGGTTTGGTTTTCAGGTTTTCATGCTCGCCTGAATCGCCTTCCAGGAGCTGCAGCCCGTTGTCTCCGAAAAGGTCGGAGGAGGCTTGTTGGCAAGGTATTCCCTTCTACAAGATAATAACTCCGTATTTCCAATGCTGATCAGTCCTGATCTACTATTTTGAGATATCACCTGAATTATTTTCTTCAGAAAGGGCTCCTGTACACTTTTTGTTTCGTGTATTGTTTGATTTGTTTAACTGCTTTGACTGTCAGGAGTTGATTGAGTGGCTAACTGGATTTTAAGGCAGGTTTGGAGGTGCAAAGACAGTTGATCAGTATTAAAAGCAGTATGAAAGGAGGTCTGAAGATGAATGACAGAGAGCATAAATATCAAGAAGACTTAGAATGTAGGGGAGAATTGTGATGACATGAGACTTGTGCACGAACATAATCAGAGACTACAAGGGCAGAAGGGCGATTCAAAAGTGAAGGAAGGCCAAATTTTAGATAGAGAAGCAGACTGATATGGACGGCAGCAAAGGAAGGTGGTTTTAGCAGTTGCATATTTAGTGGGGGGACAGAAGAATAAAAGGGTATATGCAATAACGCAGAAAAAGTTACACAAAGCTGTTGACTAGGTTTATTATAGGTAGGACAAACAAGCAAAATATTAGTCGTGTTTCTAAAGGATTAAGCAATACTTTGCAGATGCGTGTCTGAAAGAGGGAGGGATACACCTGTTTGGGTCAGGATCTTGGAGTGTTGAGTTATGCTGTCTGTCATAGAAGATACTTCTGAGAAGGAAGGTGTTGGCTGTATTTGGCTTTTCTTTTACTGGGATGTGCTCTGTGATTCTGAAAATATTGGCACATGTTCTGAGCTGACTGGCTTCAGAGAGTCTGTTAACAAGGTGTGTTAAGAGAGGCTGAGAGTCTAGAGGAGTACAGCTTCTTCTGTTCAGTCACACTTGAAAGATTGTTGTTTGCTTCTTCTTTCTTGCACTCACCTTGCTAAGTTGTAACCAATGTTTAAAAATACGAATCCTCTGCGGGCTTTGGGTAGGGTTCCTCAGGCCACCTGCAAGTGGCTGGGCCTGTTGGCAGCACCTCTAATGATCCAAATGAGAAGGATAATATTTACTTGTTTAATTCATCTTCATCACCTTAAAGGGATCTTTGTCATTTGCAGTGGAGGTCACTGCTCCCCCTTCCTCATCTCTCTCTAAATTGTAATCATAAATAATGAGTTTCATTCAGAGCTCCCCGCCAGCGAGCTGCTAATTACCAAAAGTACGGCTTGTAATTTACACAGTAATAAACCGTAAATTTAAACATTATGGCACTTTAAGTTAATAATTTTCCTGCTGTAACAAATAGCCCATGTTTCACCTCTGCTGCTACAATTCCCCCCAAACTTCGACTGTGTTTTGCCTATGTACCCGGCACAAACAAATCTTACCTGTGAAAGCCTTTTACCCTCATCTTTGGACCCTTCCTGCAAAGTGTATTTCTTTCTTGGAAGTAGTTGCTCTGCAGGTATGAACAGCTGGTGCTTCAGGCTGTGTGTGTATGTGTGTGCCAACATCAAGCACATACACAGGGCACTGTCTTGCAGGGAGAAATCTGCTCCCAGAGCAAGTCCCTTCTTGTAGCTGCTGCTTTTAGCTGCTGCTGAATTGCTGCTTTCAGAAAAGGCAAAAGCTTTATGCATGCTCCTTTTTTCATTCACCTGTGCTTGGTGAATCCCCGTTGTTAGCAGGACAGTGTGATGTCCTGTCATTCAGCCTGTTTCTGGCCCAAGTGACCATAGCAACCTGGAAATAAGCACTTCTTGGCCGTTTCCCCTGTTCTTAACTGCGTATTTTGTACTGTTCCGGTCCTTGGTGCACCCCTGTGCAAGCAAATAGCATCACTAAAATAATAAAAAACAAGCCCCACAAATAAAACAGAGTTATTTTCTGCCATTTTAATTGGTTAAATCAGCTCACTTGAAATTCTAAAAGGAGGGAGTGAAGATGTTTAGCTGAGAGTGGACTGGGAAGGGAAAGATGTGGCCCAGAGGAGTTAGATCTGTTCTTATTGGCAGCAACAAACTATTATGTCTGCTCATTGTATGCGAGTCTGCAACGTTTTACCTGTCTTTGTGTTTCAGGAGACCTCCATGAGCACTCTGGGCACCGAGAGGCTAGGTCATATTGTTAGTGATCCACGCCAGAAAGAGTAAGGTCCTTAACAGCTGTTGTGTAGAACTTTGGGAGGGGAGGAAGAATTTATAGGGTCCTCTTCCTTCCTAGAACTAAAGGAAATGAAGAGCTGGGTGGTAATTCAAGCATGCAGTGGCCTGTGGAATGGGAGACCATGCTCTGCTAATGGTTTCTCTGCTTTCTTATTTGCAATTGCTGACTTCCCTTTTGTTTATGAGGCTGCCTCAGTGTGTGGACAGTGCTCAAATGCCCTTTTGGTTACAGTCAGCTTTTTCTTTCCCCTTCCCTTATAAGGTGCCATTGCAATAGCTGCAGATCTTCTGCACAGTGTGAGAAGACTGAACTTTATATGTTAGTTTTTTTAAAAAACTTGTGTGAAGCGTGTACCCAGACTGCAGAAATGATTCTGACAAGGCAGCCACAAAATTACTTTCTATTTCTTTGGTGTTCTGTCTCCTTCCCGAATCAGGGCATTTAAATAGTAGTTGGCACCAGAAATAGTCATGTTGCCTATCCTTTGGCATCACTCTGATGCTGTTCTTGTTGGGTGATGGGCAGGTAAGGATGGCACCTCTTGACTGTAGCACAGTGGGTCCAGCCTTTACCAGCTGTTGGTGTCCAGTTTTCTTCCTTGGATCTGAAATTTGTTGTTTTTAATACGAGTCTTGCTGATGTTTAATCTTTCTCCTTCTCCCTCCATCTTTGTTCTTTCCTTCCCCTTCTCTCCTTACGCCCAACCTAACTTTTTCTTCCACTTGTGTTTGTTCCTTGGCATTGCTCCGACCTGTCTTTCCGACTCTGCCTCCTTCCAGTTTTTGGTTACCGTCCATGGGGAAGAGAGATCGCAACCAGGTAAGCTGACTCTGCTCTACCTTTTTTATTTTCTTGGTTTCCTTCTCTCTAGAAAGAACAAAGTACCGGCTTCTGATTTCCCCCACACTGTGTCCTGTGCACATGAGGTAAGGCAGCCCTGTCCCTTCTCATTTTGTTAACTGATGTTTTCTGGGCTTTGAACACAACTCATGTCTCAGGCATTGTATTGTCTGTTTAAACTGAATAGCTCAGGAACGGTTGTTTATCTCCCTGCTTCAGGTTACTGTAGGCCTTCCTCTTGGACAGTGAGTGGGAGGGAAAATGCCACTTGGCAAGAGGAGCTTTGGCCTCTCAAAGTTCCATAAGAATTGGAACATTTGTCTCTTTTTAAATGCTTTATTTTGCCTGCTTCTACTCAATAGTCTCATCAACAGAAAAGGGAAAAATATGGTGAACTGATTGTAGCTAAATAGCAGCTTTAACAGGAGGTGATAAGCAAGAGAAACAGGCATTCTTGTAACTGAAACTCTTGTGTACGCACTTTTATATTCTCCAATCTTTCCTGGCTTCAGTGTTAGGACGCTTTTTTACTTAAGATATAAGAGCTTGGGTTCTTAACAGCAGAAAGAAAAAAGGATCTTCCATTTGAACATTTTTGTTGTAACAGTGTTCCTAGTCACGCACGCTCCCTTCTATAGCTTTGCAAGTGTTTTTTTGATTGGTGAATAGTAGGATTGAAATCTGTATTATTCTTCAGGTGAATAAAAATACATATGTGGAAAGAAATAGTTTTCAGGCCTTTGTGTAACTGTTTATTTTTCATTAATGAGAACATTTCACACACCACTTCTATATTGCAAAAGATAAGAACATGGGCTTTAAAATGATCAAAATAAATTGCTTTAGTTTTTCTTAAATTAACTTGAATTGACTAAGGAGAGTCACTGGTGATTCTCCCCTGCACAGTAGTGCAGGGACAGTGTCACTTTACTGACAGTGAAAGAACTGTCCAACTTAAGGAGGAGCTCCCTGATAGCAGGAGCAGCTTTGTGGTATGTAGTGCCTCTTCTTTCTCAGAAAGGCTGAAGGCAAAGGCCTAGTACTGAGTTCTAGAGTTGCAGACAGCTTTTATGAAAAGTACTTCTAGAGCTGTGGATTATTCATTTGGCCTTATTGAAAAAATGCATCAGTAATCCTGGTAGTACAAGAAAAGTGTTCTGAAGACTGGTGTAGCACTTTGCAAAGCAGGTGGAAATGAATTTCCTGCTTCTGGTTTGAATTATAAATAATGAGGAGATGCTGAATGGAAAGTGTAATGCAGGTACCTGAAAGAAATACCAGTCTAAAACTTCTATTTGCATATTGAGCCAAACTTGCTCCATGCATTGATTGACTAGGTTATTCCATTTCTGTCCTGATCTTCAAAAAATCTTGAGTTGCATCTTCTACAGCAAGCTGTCTTGCACAGATTTGATGCCTTCAGGATTTGTCTAGTGTGTGTCTAACAAAGGATCTAAGATTTGTGTGACAATACAGCATTTCAAAAATTTGTTATAAGCACTTTGCAAAGAAAACTTGTGGGGTGGGTTGGGAGTGGGAGGAGCAGTTCGCTTGCTATGGAGTGAATTTGGAGCTCATTGTGAACTGACTGTGGTGGGCCTGAGTCTTTCAGAGGTCTGGGT